CCTTTCTCTATTGTCTTTTTCTTTTTAGACCTGGCGTCAGCTCTGGAGAGTTCTAGAGATGTCAGACATTGTCCTGCTGATAACAGACATCCGGCACCCGGTCAGTGTTGTGTGTCACTGTCTCTTATTGTGTCTGTTCTGCAGCACTTGCTTTCTGTACAGACTTGTCATCAGATGTCCCATCACCCGATGCTGCATGGCTATGGCACTGCACACTTATCCACTGATGGTGTGCTTATGCATTCATTTTGTGGTCAAAACATGCATGCACAATTCCACAGTCAGCTAATATATAAACCTGTTTATAGTGAGGAAAGGTTTGGGGGGGGGGTTCTTTTCTTTGTTTTTGTATTGTGTTTTAAAAGTTAAAAAAAAAAAACAATTTTTGAATTTCCCTCTTTAGTTCCACAACCTAAAGCTATGCAAGGGTTAACATCCGATATGCTTGTTGTTGCAGGGTTGTTCCTTTCTTCTTAATGAGAATATGAAAGGATAGAGTTCAGCATTTATGTCTGTTGTATAGGTCACATGACAAACAGCAGCACATCCTGGCACTGCACGCACAGCCGGATGTCTCCTGTCTGTTTTTCTCTGGCAGATATCTGAGTGTGGGCCTGACAGCACTGCGAGCCACGTGGATTTGCACAGCCCTATCACTCTAACTAGTTTCAGGCACTGGTTGAGCTTGATTATCCACAAGACAAAGTGGGTAGTAGTCCAGGGGGTCCAGCTACAACCTTCATTCTCCTGCAGTAAACCAAGGGGATAGCACAATCGGTCAACGCTGTGCACCCACCTGTCGCTTCTTATAGGAGGATATTTTACAGAAACAGATTGTCTGCTGTGGAGGACCATTCAAGCAAAGAGAATGTATATGGGTATATGTAATTTTTTATCAATGTCAGTCTTAGAGATGTGGAGAGGCAAAGCTGTTACCTTGCATAAGGGCCCCATTCTGTCTGAATCTGTCTGTAGGAACTGGAGTGGAAGGTGCTTAAAATAAGCTCACAAAAGCACACAAGTAGAACGACATTGGGTTGGTGATGTTAGGAGCGTAGTACATTTTCATATGGGCATGAACTAGATGGGGAAGTGACATAGGAAACTGCAGATGTTCAGCCTCTGAATGTAACCAGGCTGTGTAAATGACAAGAAAGGCAGAACTGCAATTATTTTATTTTTTTCTTTAAGCGGGGAAAATGGATCCCATATATTTCCTATTTGGCCATATTTCTGCACTCTCAGCCAAGAGCCTGGTTAAAGGGTTACTTGATAGCTGCTTCATGGCTTCCCAAACCTGGCATCACCAGCTCATTCAGTTCTAGGACAACCAGAGAGAGAAATATCTGGCATGGGGAGTTGAACAAGTATATTTTCCTCCTGTACAGAATGATTGAAGTGCTGTCACAGTGGCAGAAATAACAGACAATAGGAGGACATTTTTATTAAGCGCAGAGAAAGTGTTTTTTTTCAGCTATACTCCTCCCCCTCTTGATTTTAAAGACAGCCTCATGTATAATGAACACTTTAGTAACTACAGGCTTGGTCTTCTTTACATAATGCATGACTACCCAAAAACAAATCTTAAGCATGTTGACGAGGGAGTAAAGAAGGTACGATGTAAGGAATAATAAAAGCTTCACATACTCACTTTTCCTTGCTCCCCCACTCTCAAGGGTTTGGCCCTTGGGAGTGATGCACATGTCCCCCCTTTCTTCCCTCATGACTGTGCTGGTACTCGGTGGTTGGTCATTCAGTTCTTAATTGAGGAACATTACAATATTGACAGTAACATTCCATGTCTTTTCAGGTGCTGCATTTCTCTCCAGCTCTGTATGACTATGTGACCCAAGACCTGGGAAGAGCTCTAATCCTCGTTCTCAATAAGACAGATCTGGCCCCTCCATCTCTAGTGGTGGCCTGGAAACAATATTTTCAGGAAAAGTTCCCCCAAGTCCATGTTGTTTGCTTCACATCCTACCCCAGGCATCCAGAGGACGAGCAGGACCCCTCCGCAGGTACCATATAACTGAGACCCTGTGGACAGTTGGCGTTACCTGTCCTGTCATTGCTTTCTCTCTTTCACCTGTCAGACATGTTGATTTTCACATCCATGTCTCCTGCAGTAATTGCCTCTGGCATCCATTTTTATTTGTATGATACTCAATTGTCTTTTTTTTTTTTTTTTACTTGAATGACACTTCATTGTTTGTACACTGTCCTTGTTTTACTTTGGTATAAACTGTTTAAAAAATGTTAGCGTTTCTTAACGAAACATAGACCTTGTCCATCTTTCTATGTCTGTAGCTGAGACTCTGCCACTTTCCCCATTCAGATCCCATTGACAATATCTGCTGATAGCCACCCTCCCTTCCTCCTGAAGGGGTCCACACTGGGTAAGCTTCATGTTGGAGCTCACCTGGGTGATTGACATCACTGCCCCCCCTCCATATGGGAGTTTTTGACAATTGGCTGCTCAAGCCCGAGAATTGTCACATGCTTCTCTAAACCCAGAAGCCCTGCCTCCTTCGAGCAACAGAATAGTAGCTTGTATTGCTAGCTACTTACTAGTGCTTTCCACCAAGTGCCTCCATGCTTTTTTCAGTGCAGGCTGTCCCACCAATGCCACAAAAAAAGTCTTGCATACTGCCTTTGATGAAATGCATCTTAACACACACGTTTTGATAAGGTTGACCCTTTTAGCTAGGTTCTAGGTTTTACCTAGAAGTTCACCAGTGAACTCATCAGGAAACCAATGGTCATGTTTTTTTTTGCACCGTAGCTGCACCATTGATCAGCTTCCTTTTCCCTCTGTTTTTTTTGCTGCCAGTCTCGCTCTCCTGTGCACTTACCTGATCTCCACCCTTTCCTTCCCGCCAGTGTTTAAGAAGCGTAGAAAGAGACGCCGAGTTTGGAGTGCAGCTTTGGGCCCCAATCAACTGCTGCGAGCCTGTGAGATCATCACAGCTGGGAACGGTAAGACATGACAGGATGGTGATATACACTATATGACCAAACATTTATGACACCTGACCTTTCACACTTATTTGGAGGGATACCCACATACTTTTGGACATATACTGAGTTAAGACAATTGTGTGCTTCCAACCAAGGGCTTGTGGAAAGCCCTTGTCTGTTACAGAACGGCTGTGTCCCTGTGCACAAAGCCAGCTCCATAAAGACATGGTATAGATATTGATAAGTTTGGTGTATAGGAACTTGAGTGGCCTGCACAGAGCTCTAACCTCAACCTCACTGAGCACCCTCGGTTGAATCGGACAGCTAATTGAGAGCCAGGTCTTCTATTTTAACATCAGTATCTGACCTCAGACACCTTCTTTTGACTGAATGGGCACATAATTACACACACACTACAAAGTCTACTGTAAAGCCTTCCCAGAAGAGTGGAGGCTGTTTATAGACCCAAAGGGGAGCCAGTTCTACATTGGTTACACAAAAAGTCACGATTTTCACCTTGCATATCCAGGTCACTGACACTAGTCTAGTCAAGCAAGGATGAGGATGTCAGCCCTGGCACTTCAAGTCAGCACTGGCAGCTTACATTTTTTTTATCCTGACAAGCTCACTTTAACTTTACTGAGATGTTATTGTGATCATTGTTTGCTGTCCTCCTAATATGTTCCTACCTGTCTACAATTTTTCCTTTATGCCATGTTCCCATTCAGTTGATCTATCTAGCTGGAGAGAGAAGATTGAGAGAGACACCGCAGCACTGTGCTCCCCTGCTAGCAAAGATGGAGACGGAGAGGACAAGGATTCTGATGAAAGTGAGGCTGTTCTAGCCCAGCAGGTCACCGATGCAGAGCTTGGAGCCCCCAGCAGAGAGCGCTACAAGGATGGCGTGCTAAGCATTGGCTGTTTAGGTAAGATATAACTAGTGATGTTTAAAGCAACACTTAAAAGTAGAAAAGAAAGAAGATTCCCCTCTAAACAAGAAATATGATACTTGACTATTCTGCTGCCTCTGTTGGCAATCTTTGCTCTCCAAGAGCTAGGGTACCCGGAGAATCCTTTTCATACAACCCATTTTCTGTTGTTTCGAGTGTTGGATTCCTTGCCCCAGCAAGTGCAAAGATTGTGGCAGAACCGATGGGACAGGTAAGTAAATTACAGGGTTATTCACAAAAGGGTGAAGGGTTTTGAGAAGGCAGGAGAAGTGAAAAATCTAGGACAACAGCTATGTTGCAGTTCAGCTATGTTGTGATAGACTGTTCACTTTTCCCGCCTTCTCCAAACTCTTTACCCTTTTGTGAATAACCCTGTATATCTTGTTTACAGAGGATATTTTTTATTAGCACTATTGTGTACAAGCTCCTAATCATTGGCTTATCTGCTGTTATCTGCGGAGGAAGTGGTTTGGTGTGCAGATGAAATGGGATTGGGCGGTGCTTGTTGGGGAAGTAGGGAGTAGTGGGATTCTTTTTGTTGCACAGTAGAATTCAGCAGAGTTTTCTTGAAAATAGCCCTTTTTGTTAGCCATACCATATTCAGTTCCCCTAACAAGTCCCCATCAATATCATTTAAGCAATCACAGGCCAAGCATAAATATCAGTTTGGATGCCCTGGTATGCTAAGCAACAGGTGACCTGTAACATACAAAAGCACCCCTAGTCTCAGTCTTGCGAATTCATTGTTCTCAATTTGTTTTGTTTTTTTATCATTCCCATTCACAGGATTCCCCAACGTAGGGAAGTCATCATTAATCAATGGCCTTGTGGGCAAGAAGATTGTCAGTGTTTCTCGAACACCGGGTCACACCAAGTACTTCCAGACCTATTTCCTGACGCCCACTGTACGCCTGTGTGACTGCCCTGGCCTCATCTTTCCATCGCTGATGGATAAGCAACAGCAGGTAGGTTTCTGTGCCAGGAAATAAGCTGGTTCTCCCTTACCCACTCTTCCTGCCTCTTGTAAATGTGTGTAATCGTCATAGTACAGAGATAATCTGCTTTACTTTACTATCATTAGATGCTGTAGACTGATTCCAGAGTTTAGTGTTCCAGTCTCAGCACTGAAACAACTGCATTTTGTGTCAGACTAAACATGCTGACCTATTGTTTATGAAGCTACAGTGTATCCTGCATCCCCTTTCAGCCATCTTCCAAATGCCATGATGATATTGGATATGGGTGGCAATAGGAAAAAATAGCTACTGAAGTCCTGCTTTCTTAGTAGTCTGTCCTTCTCCTCCAGCCTGCTGTTTGCACAGTGATGGAGCAGCAGCAGGTCCGTAAAGACCTCTCTGTGCTTTTCTCTTCTCTAAGTATAGTAGATGGACAACAGCATTGTATAAAGAAGATTGCTCAGCAGTACAAGTCAGTGTGAGGGGGGGGGGGGTTGCCTGTTCTTCAGCTATGCCAGCACAGAGCACTGGAGTGGGAGAGCAGGAAGCAGCATTTTTACTGAGCGAAAAGGGTATTTAAGACATTTCAATGTAAAATCATTCTTAAATCATAACATGGAAGGGTGCAGGACTAAAGCAAGAGACTTCAAAGGAGCTTTAATCCAGTTTTGATGTCACTTTTACAGCTACTTGCAGGCATTTACCCCATTGCCCAAATTCAAGAACCTTATAGCTCCGTGGGCTACCTGTCCTGCCGAATACCTGTGCCCGGACTCCTTAAATTGTCCCACCCAGAAGGAGGCAAGAAGGGTTGGACTGCATGGGATATCTGTGACGGTAAGAAGCTGATGACTGGATTATTCTTTCCTTTCTGCACATAGCCTGGGCTGAAAAGCGTAACTATAAGACTGCGAAAGCCGCACGCAATGATTCCTACCGAGCCGCCAACAGTTTGTTGCGCCTTGCCGTGGACGGACGACTTTGTTTATGCATGAGGCCCCCAGGTTACTCACTTCACAAAGGTATTGTCTGGACTTCCTTTTCTTTTCAGCCCGTGTCAGTTGTCCCTCCAATGTCCCAGGTATATCTGTGGAGTCTGCCAGTGAAGTCCACCTAATGCATCTTCTTGTGATGGTGTGGCAACAATGCTGCACTGCTCCTGAATTCAGAGTTGCCATTTTCAAGTAGGGTGGGCATGTTAGCCCTATAGTCACTGCGACATTGTCACTGTAGCTTGTCAATCAGCACCAGCCACACCTAGTCCTTCCCAATGCATTCTGGATTGACAGCACTGCCTCTGTTGCTGAAATCCTCCCACTTTGAGCTGCAGTGTCTGGAAGGGGGGACGTGTGAGACACAAACTGAGGATTTGGCTTAGTCAGGGAAGGTAAAGGATGTTTTTTGTTTACGTTATGAAAGTTGTGCATTTCACAGCAACTGGATTTGGGAGTTTTTTTAGTCCGTCATACAGGAACCTTTTATCTCTACATTAATGGGTACAACACTTTCACACACTATAAAGCATAGCTACACCCAAAAATAAAACATGTAATATATTGCAGTTTATCAGTTTTTAGATGTGGTGGCAGCATTCGTTTTGTATTCCTTTATCTTCACCTGGTGGTCCTCCCAGTAACACACTTCCTGTCCTGTTGTGTCTTCACTCACTCCTCCACTGTATCTATGGAGGGAGACCTGTTTGGTATACAGTCTGGTCTTCAAACATGTCTGCCTGTGTTCATCTCCATTACATGGATTGGTGGCATTAGTAGCTGACACGAGAGAGAAGGATGTTTGTGCTTCCAGTTCAGCTCACAGGAAATGACAAGGACAAGCTCAATAGGTAGTTCCTGTATTTGCTGAAAATGTTCTTAGACGGAAAAATGAAAGCAAATGCAGCCGCCACATCCAAGGACTGGTGACCTGCAATTATTACATTTTGGTTTTCGTTTTAGAGGACTAGGCTCTTTATAGTTCAGGATACATGAGACCATCTATCCTTTCCCTAGTGTGGTGGTCTGTGCATGTCCATAAGTACAATTTTGTGATCTTAATGAATATAGGTACTGCGTATAAAATAACTGCTGCCCCACTATACAGTATACAACAAGGATTCTGAATATAGATACAGCCTGCTGAATGTCTTCCACCTTCATGAGGTGCACTACGCAGGAGGGTATTCTTGCAGCATTTGGGATTCACGGCTTTCCCAGAATCCGGCAAGAAGGCCCCTTGACGTCATCCTCACCTAGGTGTGCATGCCCAAAGCTGAGTTTGTAAGGGGAGTATTTTCATATCAACATAACCTTTTTTTTTCTCTCGGAGGTAGGGGGCTTGTTAATATGCAGTCACTGTATTGCTCACTGTTCTCAATGAAGAGAAAGCTGTACCTGAGGATCTGCAGTGCAAGGTTCTCTCTGCTTTTCAGCACTCTGCTGCTTCTTGATCATTACTCCACCAGGCGTCAGGGTGGCGGCTTTCATGTGAGGATGCAAAGCCCGGCTCCTCTTTCTAAATTGCTGCCTCCATGCAGAGACACAGTGCAGAACAGAAAACTAGAGATGTCCCGATACCACTGCTGCCTCCAGTGTTGATAAATGGCTGGGCCCTGTTTTGGGCAAAGCTTAAATCTTAATTTTTTTATCCCCCTCCCTTTCTTCCACAGAGACCTGGGAGCAACACCCGGACACACTGGAAATGATCAGCCTTGCAGAGGCCCGTGGCCACCCTGACAGTCACTCCTCCTCCGGAGGAGAGGAAGAGGAGGATATCTCCAGCTCAGGGGAGGAGGAAGAAGAACGAGACCGGGATGCGGATGAGGAGGAGGACGCAGAAGAAGAGAACAAAGATAACACTTCTCAGTCCCAAGCCAAAAAAAGTGTCAAAACAAAAAGCGCAGATGTCAACCCTTACGCCCTCCTTGGGGAAGATGAGTGTTAAGTTTTGGATGGGAATTTTAACTTGGCTGTGCTTCAGAAGAGGTCAGAGTGTTGGCTTTTGTTTATCAGCATCCCAGTCCTTAAACTGTCTGCTAGGTGTCTAAGCAGAACCTGTTTCAGACAGTTTGTCAGGAGAAGCCGATAGCATTTGCTCAGTTATTGCTTTTTTTCACTCCAAACTTGGCGAGGGGGGGATTATGGGAGTTTTGCATTTTGAGGTGTTGGAAACATTTTTACATTCCTCACTTCTTTTTTTTTTTTTTTTTT